ACTTGGCTGGAAACAAACTGTCACTACTCCCACAAGAGGTAATAACGTACTAGACTTAATCTTCTGCCACAATATAAGCCCCCTTTCAACGCTAGTAGGTTCTGAGTTTACAGGGAGCGACCACAAACACAGTGATGTGTGCACTGCCAATTCCGCTGAGTAGCAATGTATCTCAAACCTCCACTTCACAACAAGTAAAATATAGGAACTATGGTAAGGCAAACTGGGCCTTAGTTGAATCGATGCTAAGATCCTCCAAATGAGATGAATACTTCACTACTGATGACCTATCGAGAGTGTGAATTATTCGACAAAACTTTTGCAGGTAACTGCCTTAAGCCCCCAGTCGGGTTACTTGATATACACCCTGCTACTAATACGGCACAAACTCCATCTCCACTCACACCAAACCAAATTAGTACTGTTGAATTCACTTATGCTAACATTAACCAAACTATAAGAACCCTCAAAAGGTTTTGGTACTGACAGTATATCATCTTATTTCTATAAATATGGTGGCCCTGACATTCCTCTACTACTGCTTAAAATATTCACAATGTCCTTAGAAACCCAAACTTACCCTGGTATATGGAAGACAACATTTATTATGCCTAAACACAAATCTGGCTCGAAAACAGAAGCCAGTAACTACAGGCCGATCAGTACCATACCTAACGCATCTACAATTATGGAGAGACTAGTAAGAGATAATCTAATCAAACATATGCTTAGCTGCAACATTATAAGTCCGACCCAACATGGATTCCTAAAATCCAGATCTTGTTTAACATGCCACCTAGACTTCTTTGATTTTGTGACCAGCAGTCGTGACAGACGGAAACTAGTACTTGTCATCTATATTGGCATTTTACAGTCATTTGACCGTGTCGACCATTTACTGCTAACAAATAAGCTGAACTCCTTAGGAATACGTGACCCATTATTAGGATGGCTTAAATCATTTCTTAACAATAGGTCCCAAATAGTTAAAAACTCACCTGCAACCTCCCAACCTAGCCCTATCACTTCTGGTGTAATAGAAGGTAATGTCATTGGACCCCTCCTATTTATACTATACATCAATGACATATGCGCTTGCTTCTCACACGGGAAACCATTCATTTTTGCAGATGACCTAAAGATAGCTTATACATTCCAATATGATGACTTTGGGTACTTCGTGAATGTAGTGCAGAAAGAATTAGATAAAGTAACTTCTTGGTCGTCTTTATGGAATCCACAATTTAACCTGAACAAATGTGGCTGGATCTGCTTCGGCGAACTCTCAATTGACTTGAAATTAACGCTCCAATCTGCTAACCTGACCAGACTCCGAAGTGTCGTTGACTTAGGCCTGAGGTACTCAAGTGACTTAACATTCTCTGAGCAAGTGGCATCACAGACTCGAAACTCGAGGATGCTCTTAGGATGCATACTCAGGAACTTTTACGACAATGAAGCCAAGCTAATTCTGTACAAAACATGTGTAAGGCCACTACTAGAATACTGTCCATTTATTATAAGCAGCACTCGCACACGTCACAAGCTAAGGATGGAAAGTATCCAATGATATTTTACCTCCAAACTACTTGGCTACGATTGTAAGAAAGACTACATCTCACGCTGCATGATCCTGAGACTTGACCCACTTTGAACAAGACGACTTATTATGAACCTAATATTCTTCTTTAAGGTCCTTCACAAAATATGATTCTCAGGTAACAGGGACATAAAATTCGTACAGGAAGGCTCTTACGATCTGCGTAACCAAACTTGCACAGTGACAATAAAAGCCTTTAAGTCAACACTCCGTGAGAACTTCTTCACAGTGATGTATTCTAAAATATGGAATAGCCTTCCCCTAGATGTCAGAACTTGCTCTTCGGTTATAAGCTTCAGAAGCTCTCTGTACAGACTGTTTCACTCTACTGATTACACTAATAAACTATTTATTCCTAGAACGAATCAACTATTAGTTTACTACAGCACGCGCTTAAATACCCTTAGCACGCTAAAAACTCTAAATAAACTAATTGCATAGATGCATAAAAAGACTTAGTAGGAATATATACGTAGATTCACTAAATTACAATGTACAAAGAATATAAACTTTAGGTATCGACCCACTCTGGATGAGACAACTCAGCATTAATCTAACATTCTTTTTAAAAGCCCTGCATAAAACATCAGGATAAAAGAATTAATTAGACCGACTAACCTCAGACTTAGGTTTGACCTTAGGCTGCTTGGATTCCTTTGCAGCGTCAGTAACTGTAGGCTTCATCAGGTTTTGGCCATCCTTTGCTGTGTAGCCAAGCTCACTAGTAGATGTTGTGTGTGTAACCTGTGGAGTGTTCACGTTGTGAAGATTGGTATTTCGAGTCAGTTGGACTTAAGTGTTCTTCTTACTGTCTCTACCGGGTTTTGGAAGTGGGGTGTTAGCAGGTGGGGAGCTGCATGAGACTGTATTGAGACCCAAGAGTGGGGTGTTGTTTCTGCTATCCGCAGACACGCTGTGTGGGACTGTGTCAGGGCGACAAAGTGGACAGATATACCAAAACCATGGGCATGGGTTATTTCGCATAAACTCGTAGTATGATTTCGGCACCCCTTTGTCACAACGTCAGTGTAACCATCCTTTAGAAAAATTGCACTGAAAAGCTGAGTCAGTTTTAGGAACGATGACACTACACGCCTGACATTCATCTCCCTTCCTTGACGACACTTTCTTGGTCTGATGACGTCTTGAGCGTTTCCCTTTTGTTTTGCTGTGTTTCACGCACCGTCTTTCAGTGGATGGATGTGTAGTATCCTGTCCACCTGGTATTGCATGTGGCGTTTTAGTGCTAGACTGTGTCAATGCAGGCGTAGTATCAGAACAGACGATACCTACACAAGTCTTTAGGATCGGTATACGGGAAAGGGTTGATGTCCCTGGGATTTTGGCTTCTCTGGCTGAAGCCCTTGTGACTACAGAATATGGTGTTTAATTGCTTTTTCTAAAGCTACTTTCAATAGCCATATTAGCAATCATTGTGATTTATGCCATATACGAATATGAGAGCAACAGTATCTACCCACAAGAACAAGTATGAGACTGATGAAGTACAAGACAAGGAAAAGAAAAGGTTTTCGACTTTACCTAGTACTTTCTGGGTGATCAGCTTCACGGTAATAACGTTGTAGACCAGCAAGTCTTGTTTATCTGAACGAGTGAGGAGGATACCGCTACAGAAGTGGCACCTGAAGCTTTGGGAGTAGTTCGGGACAACTGAACTTACCACACAGAGATTCAATATGTAATTAATGGTTGAATTTGATTCACCGGCTATGGAGATCAGGTTTCCCAATCGTATAATTAACGAACTAGGTATTTTCCGGTCAGAGAGGAAAAACCACGTGGTATTCAAGGAGCGCGCGCGTCAGTAGCTCGACACAGTTGTGTCGTCCGTAGTGCGCGCTGAACTAGGTCGTGCGCCTATTCAATCTCATTTAACGACCATGATGTGCAGTGAATTCCCTATCGTTATTATTTTACAATGAAGGTATAATTTGATATTTTACGGCCTCCACAAGGTCATATTCCAAGACACTTCGCAGGAGATGGCAAAGCGATGCCGGATGCAGGAGGCTGTTGTAGGATATGGAACCAGTAATGTTTGCAGATCTTTTGCTACGGTAAGTAGCCTAATATCTACATTCTTTATACTCATTCAGAAAGTCATACAGAAGCTTCAATGGTGTGGGAGAAAGAAGACAAACGACAGCAGCACAGAAGAAAGCCAGTGGAGTCCTTGAAGAGTGATGTATAGACTAATATATGCAATATGTGTGGAGAATATGATTATTTTGATATACTGACTAACTTGTCCTGTTATTCTGCGCCTTATATGTTTGAAGTAGTATTAATGTCCTGTGTGGAAATGTCTATGACATCCTTCCAAATAATATTAACATTTACCATTGTAGTTTATTGTAACTTTTGCGTTAAGTGGACGGATAAAATCTATTTTTGGTGTGAAAGAAGGCGTAGGATTGAGACGCAGGAGTGTATTGTAATCTTTGAGCAATCTGGTGACTGAGGAGATGAACACTGGGAGTGTGTTTGCACCACGCACACTAGCTGGTAGTCTGTTCCAAATGACTGAAAACTTATTTATGAGGAAGTTGTGTCACATGTAGGCCTGACAATGTCTGTCTGTCTGTCTGTTTTCGACATAGAACTTTGCACATATGTGCACCAGTTCAAGTCGCCACACTCCGTGTAGCACGCGAAGCAAGAGAAGAAAGTACAAGAAAGGCATAATAGAAACAGTGAGCAGAGGTGTGAGACAAAGGAGAATAAAGAAAAATTAAACAGTTTCATTGGAGATCATAAGTCACAAGGAGTGGATGCATCTGCGCCACTGAGAACGATTTTGAGCCATGTCACCAATTGTTTCCAACCATAGATTTTTACCGTCCCGAGGACCCCAGCCTGGAAGTCTACTCCTTCCTACGTGACTTAGACCAACTGTTGTGGATTTCATTGACTGGTGCCAAGTTTTGGTTTGACCACCACTAGCTTTTTTCCAGCCTGACTCTATATCCGCTAACATTGCTCGTCGAGGGAGGCGATGGCTTGGCATACGTAACACATGTCCTAACCATCTCAGTCTTTGTAGCTTCACGACTTCGTCGATTGATTTCCCCTGTTTACCTAGAACTCTACGCCTAACCTCAATGTTACTCACCTTATTATGCCACTTTACACGGGAAACAGAGCGCAGGCACCTATGATCAAAGGCAGCTAGTCTTTTCATGTCTTCCACTCTCAGTGGCCAGGTCTCACAGCCATAAAGGAGGACGGAGCGGACTGATGAGCAGTACACCCGCCCTTTGGTCGATAGTCGAACATCTCGTCTACGCCAGAGTCGGCGTAAACTAACAAATGCGGAACGAGCCCCTTGTATTCGTGCTGAGATTTCGTCAGAGATCAACCCGTTGGCACTGGCTGATGGTACTTCCCAAATAAGTGAAGCGGTCAACGTGCTCTACCACTTCATTTCCTATTTTTAAACTAGGCGTCGATGTAGTCCAGTCCTGTAACATCATCTTGCATTTAACGGGAGCGAATCGCATGCCAAACATTCGTAGATTGCGGCTCAGTGTGTTCAGAAGACTCTGCTTTCTGTCAGCGTCTTCGCCTAGAAGGACTATATCGTCTGCATATTCCAAGTCAACGAGATTATTCCCCGGTAGCAAGTCAATCCCTGAGTCGCTGAAGTCACCTAGGGTTAAGTCCATTAACACATCTATGATAAAGTTGAATAGAAAAGGAGATAATGGGCATCCTTGACGGACACCACTGGTCGTCACCAGTTCAGATGATAGCTCGCCGTAAGCCCTCACCTGGCTGTATGAGTACGAGAATAGTGCCTTAATCAGTGCTATATATTTTCTCGGAATTCCCTTTACAGCCAAGCATCTCCAGAGAACTTCTCGATCGACAGAGTCGAATGCTGCCTTTACGTCAAGAAATATAATGACTGTTGGACGCCGGTAGGAATTCCTATGTTCTAGAATCTGTCGGAGGGTGAAGATATGATCAATACACCCTCTTCCTGGTCTAAAGCCTGCGTGGCTCTCTCGTGTTTGTGCCTCCCGAGCACCACTTAGTCTACGCATGATTATTGAGCCTAAGACTTTAGATACTATATTAGTCAAGCTAATCCCTCTGTGGTTATCACAGGAAGACTTGTCTCCCTTCTTGTATATGGGGATAATCAGTGACTTACACCAACGCGATGGGACTTCTTCTGATTCCCAGACGCTGCCTAGTACCTCAGTTAATCCGGACAGTAAGCTGTCTCCACCGTACTTAAATACCTCTGGAGTCATTCCATCAGGTCCCGCTGCTTTGCCTAGTTTCAGATTGGTGACAGTTTTAGTAACCTCAGTTAGTGACGGAGGACCTGTATCTATATCCCATTCAGGGAGGGGTTGGATGTTCGGAAGGTTGAGCGTGGCTGTGGGCAAATTAAACTGCTCCTCATAATGCTCTTTCCAACGATCCAGTCGTCTATCCTGTGAGCTAATTATAGTGCCATTTTTTCCGAGATTGTCTCACTGATGATTTGTCTTCTCCCATCCGATTCCCCGATGAGTCTAAATAGTTGCCTGGTGTTGCCTATCCTCGAAGCTTTCTCCATCTCTTTGGCTTTCGTCGCCCACCACTGTTCACGGTCCTTGCGTAAGTTTAGCAGTCCAGACAAGGGAGCTGGTAAATGCCCAGCAAGACGTTTGTCAGCAGTGGGATGTGTAGCCAAACAAGTGATAGCTAAGCAACACGCATCTCTTAACCGTGTGTTTTGTGTACCTGTGCCACTAACCTGTGGACTGGCGTTTCCTGTAGCTTTTACTGGTGATGATCCAGCACTAATTGAGGCACCAATTGAAGATCAAAACAATTATCCAAAATTTTCCAATTTTCGACCATGGACTTTGTGCTGCTGAATCCAGCAGCACATTCGCGTGCGAATGAATCTTCTGATAGGGCATTGAGGATATGAAGGAAGTGGTGCGCTGGTGGAGAAATACTGAGGAATGAGTGAATGCGGTTTTTACATCTAGGGTAGTCAGATGACAATTGAAACATTGGAGGACGAGGTAGCTTGGGCACGATCGGCGTGGTGATACCACTTTCTTCTGGAAATAGCCTGGGAAGACCGTAATCGAATGAATTTTCCATGTTAATAGCAGAAGGACCACCTCCGACACCAATTTGTAACAGGCAACCAGCAGGCACACCGTAATGAAAGCAGAACACCAACTGCACAGGAAAGAGTTTATTCAGCGAGAATGGACTTTTTAAAAAGTGTGGGGTACAGTTTTTGGGGATTACAGTTTTACTGAGCTTCATTAATGTTCAGGTTCTGCAATTCCTCGACCAAGCAGTTGACTACCTGGTATCTTCCTGCAAGTAGAGAAAATAAAACATTGATTAGTGTTACACTATTAGTTTTGTTTCTCTTAAAGAGCTCGTGACCCGCGGGCTCTTTGAATACCACGTGGTTTTTCCTCTCTGACCGGAAAATACCTAGTTCGTTAATTATACGATTGGGAAACCTGATCTCCATAGCCGGTGAATCAAATTCAACCATTAATTACATATTGAATCTCTGTGTGGTAAGTTCAGTTGTCCCGAACTACTCCCAAAGCTTCAGGTGCCACTTCTGTAGCGGTATCCTCCTCACTCGTTCAGATAAACAAGACTTGCTGGTCTACAACGTTATTACCGTGAAGCTGATCACCCAGAAAGTACTAGGTAAAGTCGAAAACCTTTTCTTTTTATTGTCTTGTACTTCATCAGTCTCATACTTGTTCTTGTGGGTAGATACTGTTGCTCTCATATTCGTATATGGCATAAATCACAATGATTGCTAATATGGCTATTGAAAGTAGCTTTAGAAAAAGCAATTAAACACCATATTCTGTAGTCACAAGGGCTTCAGCCAGAGAAGCCAAAATCCCAGGGACATCAACCCTTTCCCGTATACCGATCCTAAAGACTTGTGTAGGTATCGTCTGTTCTGATACTACGCCTGCATTGACACAGTCTAGCACTAAAACGCCACATGCAATACCAGGTGGACAGGATACTACACATCCATCCACTGAAAGACGGTGCGTGAAACACAGCAAAACAAAAGGGAAACGCTCAAGACGTCATCAGACCAAGAAAGTGTCGTCAAGGAAGGGAGATGAATGTCAGGCGTGTAGTGTCATCGTTCCTAAAACTGACTCAGCTTTTCAGTGCAATTTTTCTAAAGGATGGTTACACTGACGTTGTGACAAAGGGGTGCCGAAATCATACTACGAGTTTATGCGAAATAACCCATGCCCATGGTTTTGGTATATCTGTCCACTTTGTCGCCCTGACACAGTCCCACACAGCGTGTCTGCGGATAGCAGAAACAACACCCCACTCTTGGGTCTCAATACAGTCTCATGCAGCTCCCCACCTGCTAACACCCCACTTCCAAAACCCGGTAGAGACAGTAAGAAGAACACTTAAGTCCAACTGACTCGAAATACCAATCTTCACAACGTGAACACTCCACAGGTTACACACACAACATCTACTAGTGAGCTTGGCTACACAGCAAAGGATGGCCAAAACCTGATGAAGCCTACAGTTACTGACGCTGCAAAGGAATCCAAGCAGCCTAAGGTCAAACCTAAGTCTGAGGTTAGTCGGTCTAATTAATTCTTTTATCCTGATGTTTTATGCAGGGCTTTTAAAAAGAATGTTAGATTAATGCTGAGTTGTCTCATCCAGAGTGGGTCGATACCTAAAGTTTATATTCTTTGTACATTGTAATTTAGTGAATCTACGTATATATTCCTACTAAGTCTTTTTATGCATCTATGCAATTAGTTTATTTAGAGTTTTTAGCGTGCTAAGGGTATTTAAGCGCGTGCTGTAGTAAACTAATAGTTGATTCGTTCTAGGAATAAATAGTTTATTAGTGTAATCAGTAGAGTGAAACAGTCTGTACAGAGAGCTTCTGAAGCTTATAACCGAAGAGCAAGTTCTGACATCTAGGGGAAGGCTATTCCATATTTTAGAATACATCACTGTGAAGAAGTTCTCACGGAGTGTTGACTTAGAGGCTTTTATTGTCACTGTGCAAGTTTGGTTACGCAGATCGTAAGAGCCTTCCTGTACGAATTTTATGTCCCTGTTACCTGAGAATCATATTTTGTGAAGGACCTTAAAGAAGAATATTAGGTTCATAATAAGTCGTCTTGTTCAAAGTGGGTCAAGTCTCAGGATCATGCAGCGTGAGATGTAGTCTTTCTTACAATCGTAGCCAAGTAGTTTGGAGGTAAAATATCATTGGATACTTTCCATCCTTAGCTTGTGACGTGTGCGAGTGCTGCTTATAATAAATGGACAGTATTCTAGTAGTGGCCTTACACATGTTTTGTACAGAATTAGCTTGGCTTCATTGTCGTAAAAGTTCCTGAGTATGCATCCTAAGAGCATCCTCGAGTTTCGAGTCTGTGATGCCACTTGCTCAGAGAATGTTAAGTCACTTGAGTACCTCAGGCCTAAGTCAACGACACTTCGGAGTCTGGTCAGGTTAGCAGATTGGAGCGTTAATTTCAAGTCAATTGAGAGTTCGCCGAAGCAGATCCAGCCACATTTGTTCAGGTTAAATTGTGGATTCCATAAAGACGACCAAGAAGTTACTTTATCTAATTCTTTCTGCACTACATTCACGAAGTACCCAAAGTCATCATATTGGAATGTATAAGCTATCTTTAGGTCATCTGCAAAAATGAATGGTTTCCCGTGTGAGAAGCAAGCGCATATGTCATTGATGTATAGTATAAATAGGAGGGGTCCAATGACATTACCTTCTATTACACCAGAAGTGATTGGGTCAGGTTTGGAGGGTGCAGACATGAGTTTTTAACTATTTGGGACCTATTGTTAAGAAATGATTTAAGCCATCCTAATAATGGGTCACGTATTCCTAAGGAGTTCAGCTTATTTGTTAGCAGTAAATGGTCGACACGGTCAAATGACTGTAAAATGCCAATATAGATGACAAGTACTAGTTTCCGTCTGTCACGACTGCTGGTCACAAAATCAAAGAAGTCTAGGTGGCATGTTAAACAAGATCTGGATTTTAGGAATCCATGTTGGGTCGGACTTATAATGTTGCAGCTAAGCATATGTTTGATTAGATTATCTCTTACTAGTCTCTCCATAATTGTAGATGCGTTAGGTATGGTACTGATCGGCCTGTAGTTACTGACTTCTGTTTTCGAGCCAGATTTGTGTTTAGGCATAATAAATGTTGTCTTCCATATACCAGGGTAAGTTTGGGTTTCTAAGGACATTGTGAATATTTTAAGCAGTAGTAGAGGAATGTCAGGGCCACCATATTTATAGAAATAAGATGATATACTGTCAGTACCAAAACCTTTTGAGGGTTCTTATAGTTTGGTTAATGTTAGCATAAGTGAATTCAACAGTACTAATTTGGTTTGGTGTGAGTGGAGATGGAGTTTGTGCCGTATTAGTAGCAGGGTGTATATCAAGTAACTCGACTGGGGGCTTAAGGCAGTTACCTGCAAAAGTTTTGTCGAATAATTCACACATGTCTGCAGAATTAGTGCATAGCCCACCTCTGTCTGTGAGGAGAGAAATGCTGTGATTTTTGCGGTTCATTCGCTTCTTTAAGATTTCTGTGAGTGCACACACTAGCAGGACTGG